CCTGCTTGTACACTCTCTCTCTTTCTCTGACCAGGAAATAACTAAAATATTTTTTTTAAATTAAAAATAAAAAAATCATTAACATAAAATAAAATACTAAAACAAACAACAGAACCTAAGAAAGTTAATGACTAAGAGTAAAACAATTTTTTTTGGTTACTTCATATAATAGCACTGGAAAATGAAAGGCTGGAGATGTCATGGCCATGTCCATCTCTTGTCCTGTGTGAAAACAATATTAAATACAGGTGGGCTGAGGCTGGGAATCCCTGATATGTTTTCATTCTCCCATGAGCTACACCAGGAGGGATCCGGTACTGCAGCATGGCAGAAACAGAAGCCGGACTAGCAGGCTAGCAGCAAAGAGAGTCTGGAGGGCAGGCTTTCCTCTGACACTGATTATTCGTGTGGCCTTGGGCAGGTCCCCTAACCCCTCTGGACACAAATGACAGATCTCGACCATGAACTATCCTCAACTGACACTTCCTAAAGCATCTGTTTGTTTGAAAATCTCATCATCCTAATTTATAGACTGGTATCAAAAACCTCTTGCCCGGTGTCATGCTTACTCTCAAACAAATCTTCCTCAAATCGGTTTCATGAAAGTCCTCAAGAATTCTGTGTGGTTCTACGCCAACCATGCTAGCCCCCAGGGCTCCGCCTGTGGGGAGGGAACCGAGATGAGTCCGTGTGTTCCTCACTTTGAATGGTAAGGCCCCCTGAAAATAATAAAAAAGTATTTTGCAAATGTTGACTATATTTCCAGGATTACCAAGCAATTTTGACAATTATTTAGAGTAAAGCACAATTTTGGTAATGCCTACAGTGTTAATTGTGATTATCTCTGGAGGCTGAAGATTATAGGGGCTTTCTTAATCTTTTTTATATTTCCTGTGTTTTGTTTTATAAACAAAAAAGTGTATTTTAAAAAACTATGGCCCAACGCTATGAATGTAGTTAATGGCACTAAACTGCTCACACAAAAACAATTATGATACTACGTGTATTTCACTGCAATAAAAATCCCCCCAATATCCATTATGGAGACACTATAAATAATACAATGTTCATAAATAATTCTCTGAAAATAATTGTCAATTTGTATAAAATCAAACAAAGGCAGAATAGACAAAACCCATGCAGTAGGTCTGAAGATATTGGTACTTAAATCAAAGAACACAGTTTCTTCCGTCTGGTAACTCTAGAGCCAAATTCATAAGTTTTGCCAAATACTGCAGCTGGGATGCTGAATGTCAGCAGTGGTGTGAGGAAGCCAGCTCCTACAAGCTCACAAGAGTTCACTGTCAGCATCTTTTCCCAAAGCTATATTCAATGGTGCATGTTAGTAGCTTAAAACCAGCCACGGTGGGAGCACTTACACTCTGGAAATTGGAAATGCTACAAATCAAAGCTTGGTTTTTCCCAGAAAATCAGCATGCCAGCACATTGCTGTTTAAATAATAAAAACGTAAATAGAGGGGCGCCTGGGTGGCTCAGTGGGTTAAGCCTCTGCCTTGGGCTGAGGTCATGGTCTCAGGGTCCTGGGATCAAGCCCCACACTGGGATCGAGCCCCACGCTGGGATCGAGCCCCACACTGGGATTATGCCTCACATTATCATGGGGCTCTCTTCTCAGTGGGGAGCCTGCTCCACCCCCCCCCCGTCTTTCTCTCTGCTTGTGATCTCTCTCTCTCTGTTAAATAAATAAATAAAATATTCAAAAAAAGTAAATAGAAATGTATACTAACAGAATGCCTAAAATCAATGATCCCAACTTATTTTATAAATCTAAATACAGTTAGGAGCAGTGAAAAATATACCCAAGTGAGTGGCAAGGCAGGAATAGGAACCTAGGATTCCAGATTTCTTTCCCTTACATCATAAAGACCAAATGCCCAAAGACAAAGGTTGCCTTGAGTTTGCTATTGCTGGATTCACTGGAACTGCAAGATCAATTTGCTAATCTTTCTGGGGGCAAAACTCCCTCCAAAAGTCACCAGCTGCTGCAGAGAGTAATGGCTTTCTGTCAAAAGCAACATCCATCATCTCTGCATCGCCTCAGAGAAGGGCTCATGACTTCAGAGGAGGAATTAACTTCCTTTTTGACACTTCCTTCCATGGACACCCACAGATCAAAGGAGCTTGAGGAAGAAGCCAGGGGCTTGAGCTTGGACCTAGTTCACCAGGTCCTGAGCATTCCAGGCTGCTTGGTGGGCCCTTAGCACCAATGTCAACACCCCACGGACACAAACTGTTAATACTTGATCTCTCTCTGGAATGAGGTTTTCCACAAGACACATGCAGGCACACGCTGACGTCACATTCAGAAAAGGAAGTACATGTCCATGAAATTCAGCATTCATCTGTTTATTCCTATTACCTGTAAGATAAAGCTTGACCTAGCCACGGCATTTGGGGTCCTTCATCATCCGGCCGCTACCTAAGTGTTCAAAACTACTTTCTTCACCAACACACAGTCTCCACTTACACACACAACCTGACCCGTGTACTTTCTCGCTCATGGACTCTCCTGCCTTCCCTCTCCACTTTTCCAACCTCTCCTCACTCTTCAGAGTGGAGAGGTTAACTGGAACTCCAATTTTTCCTATAGGCTTTTCTAAATCATCCCGGATTCAAAAGATCTTTCTTCCTTTGAAATGTAAATAAACATAGTCTCACTTCTGTTTAAATGCTCCATAAACATTTGGTGAATGAATGACTGAATGAATTCCAGCACGACCACATTCTTAGGGCACTTAGTTATGCACTTAGGCACTTAATTATGGCCAAGTTGCTTTAACCTTCTTAAGATACAGTTTCATCATCTGTAAAAATGTGGTTTGGGCAAGAGACTGAGATATTGTTTTGAAATTATCTAGCAGAGATTCTACATAGACTCAAAAGATACTAGGTAGAACAAAGACTGGAGAAGTATTAGCCTGATTTACTGCCTCCTTCCCTCCTGTGTTGTTAGTTAACTTTTCCATTATGCATAGTGTCTCTTCCTAGCTAGATTATTGGATCAAGGACCCATTTCTTGACATTTTTTTCTGTCCTTCACAGTGGCTAGCAAAACATGGAGTTTTGCTAATAAAATACTGTTGATGAGTCAATAGCTTCTCTATTGAAAAATATGTCCCAAGATTTTGTCTGGTGACACTGGAATTCCCTCCTTTAGAGACATTCTCTCCTAAAACAAGCATCGGCCTAGCTAAAATCCAAACCTGCCTGGGAGATAGTAATAAATTATGTTGCATTGGTTATGAATATATGCTCTGGTTACACTTTCTTATTTACAAGGAGTAGAAACTAGCTTGCAGACTCGCTAGTATGCGAAGTATGATATGGTTTTGTTTAATCCAAAACCTTAGTAGAATTCGCTTTATTTAATGTTTTGCCAACATAACTGCAACATAGAAATACAGGGGACAAGAGAAATACAGATACTGCTCTATCAAGGAGGACAAGGAGTGAAACAGAATGAAGTGTAGCATCATAATTGCAGCAAATGGCATCAGGAACCACAGTGACCGGCTGTCGTGATTTGCATTTCACCAAGGGGTTCCAAAGATGCAAGGCATTCAGGGCTAACACCAGAAAATCCCAGACAATCTGGTATAAGTTGGTCATCCTGTAAGGAACCACTAAACTTCCACCAAAAAAACACACTTCCTCTAATTTCAAAAGTGCACTTGGGGTCAGCAGCACAAACCTGTCCCTGGCTGGTTATCAGCTGGTTAGGGCAAAGAGCTCACAAGGCCAAGGCTAAAGGTTTGATTTCCCAGGAAACTTGGCTCTCTTCCAGTCAGAGGCAGAGTGCTTCCCTTCAGCCAGCCGTCTTCCAGCATCTTTGACCCATCACAAGGGGAACAAGGAGAGGGAATGCACAGCTACTTTGGACCAGATCCTCCGCCGCTGCTAGTAACATTGGTGGGCGGACACTGATGGTTTCCTTGGGCATCAACACGGAGTGAGTGAATAAGGTCACAAAAAGAAACTCACCCTTAAATGGGTTTGAAATAACCACACATAGCAGAATCTCCTCGATTTCAGTCCAATACTGTGAGACAGGCCTGGCAGACAGCAAGCGCGGCAGGTCTGGGATCACCTGAGGTTCCAGAGCCAGAAAGCCACAGAGATGGGGCGGGAACCCTCACCTCCTAGCGACTGTTTGTCATCGTGGTGACCGCGGCGGTGGCAGTGACAGAGGTCACAGCCGCCTGTAACCCAGCAAAACACACACCCTGAACATTGAGCTTGACTTTGTACATCTCCTTTCCATAAGGATTCCAGAACTCTTCAGGTTACTGGAACCACACGGGCCGCCTGAAAGCTCTCATGCACCTTGCCCAACGCCAGCCGTGGCATGCTTGTGGGCTGATGATTTCCTGCACGTGTAAAGGCTTTACAAAGTGCAGTCAAATGCTCTGCCACTGAGCTATACCCCCTAGGCTTTACAAAGTGCATCCACATTCTCCACCCTGTTGCTCAGGTCCAGGGGATCCCAGAAAAGTATCCCCACTTTGAACGTTTAGGTGCTGCAAGTTTCTGCACCTCCCTCTTTTTTTTTTTTATATTTTATTTATTTATTTGACAGAGATCACAAGTAGGCAGAGAGGCAGACAGAGAGAGAGAGAGAGAGAGAGAGGGAAGCAGGCTCTTGGCTGAGCAGAGAGCCCGATGCGGGACTCGATCCCAGGACCCTGAGATCGTGACCTGAGCCGAAGGCAGCGGCTTAACCCACTGAGCCACCCAGGCGCCCCTGCACCTCCCTCTTTCACGTCTTTATCTTCTCATAGACTCCTCTGCCTCCAGTCCGCAGGGTCGTGAGGTGTTTGGTGTTTGGATTAGTAAACTGACAGGTGAATTTCCCAAACACGTTTATTTTTCCTTTGGGAAAGTGTGGGTAGGAAGAAAACCACTGTGTGTCCTACTTCCATGTTACTCATTAACTGACTTGAAAAAAAATAATAAGCAGCGTTGGCTAGATTAGGAGTCATGTGAAGAAAGTTTCCTGCAATGCGGGAATAGAGCAAAGCTAAAATGCAGAGTTTTCCCCATGACAGGGGGGACTCAGAAAGGAGCCTCTGAGCTTCTTGCTTAACCTGGTGATCAATATGCGCACAATGGCGAGGAAAAGTCAGTCTCCCAGCGACTCGGTCTTCCAGTTTGACATTCCTGGCAGCCCAAGAAAGGCAGGCTCCGAGGCCCCACGCAGCTCCACAGACAGCCCCGGCTCGGTGTTTCTCAGGTGGGTACCTCCGTGGGTCGCCCTGGTGGCCTGAGCCACCAGACCCGTGTTCCTTGGAGAGCTCTGTCCTTGTCCCTGGAGGCCGCAACCTGCCAAGGGGAAGGAGAAGGCACAGCCTGGGCATTTGGCCCAATGGATTAGAAGGGGGTACATAGCAAAGAATGTCACTTGCTGAGCAAATACAGCTATTACCACTATTAAGGGAAAATAATGGTGAGTACCTTCTTTAGGAATTTTTTGTACTGGGTGACTGGCCGGCTCTGCCGTTCTTTAATTCTTGATCACTTTCATGTTCATAGGAAATGAAGACAAATAGTTGAACCAAAAAAACCTTTCTTCCATGTCAGAATTACCTGTGTTATTATCGAAAGAGTAAATTTGGGGGCTTTCTAAATTAATTATCAAAATAGTATTAGCTGTACTGTGGGTTCAACTATTTATTGTACAGATGGAAAGCAGCTTTGGCCTGATTGAGAACACACTCTTTTTTAGCTATAAATATTAATATCTACATAAATATGACTCTGATAATTACATTTTTTTTAATTTTTTTTTTTTTTATTTGAGAGAGAGAGAGAGAGAGAAAGAGAGCACAAGCAGCAGAGGGAGAAGAAGAAGCAGGCTCCCGGCTTAGCAGGGAGCCCAATGCAGGGCTCAATCCCAGGACCCTGAGATCATGACCTGAGCTGAAGGCAGAGGCTTAACTGTCTGAGCCACCCACGTGCCCCAATAATTACATATTTTTAATGAAAACCCATATTATCAACTCTTTATTCATTTTGACCTCCTAATAATTGTCTAGGAACTTACAAAATGTAGAAATCAAATCCAAGTGAAAATAATTTCAAGAGAAAGTTTCTTACCCAACTTTGATGTAAACTTTAATGTTATCCCACATGAACCTCCTAAGTGAAGCCAGCGGAAAGACCTCCACACTAGAAGTTTACGTCTACACAACACCGCAGCCAGAAAGTTGATCATTTATTTTGTTTCTTCATCATTTTAAATCATTTATACAAAAAGGTGCTCCTCAAAATTATAGCTTTTAAAAATTAAATGGAGACAAAGAAATCCCATTTCATCAAGTGGTGTTTGCATATCAGAATGTCAGGTTACAAAAATCAGTAAAATAATTTAATTTTATTTTACTATATTATTTTATTTTATTTTTATTTATCTATTTGAGAGAGAGAGAGAATGAGAGAGAGAGAGAGCATGAGAAGGGAGAGGTCAGAGAGAGAAGCAGACTTCCCTCTGAGCAGGAAGCCTGACTGGGGACTCAATCCCAGGACTCCAGGATCATGACCTGAGCTGAAGGCAGTTGCTTAACCAACTGAGCCACCCACATGCCCCAAGTGAAATAATTTTAAGAAGAAGTTTTGGGGATAAAGAGCCTGACTTTATGCAAAATGTTATGTAATACCTTTATTTTTAGGGTAACTTAGTTTTTTCCATCCATCATGAAAATGAATTTATCTGACTTTCATTGGCTGAGCAAGAGGACAACTCCTGTGATTAAAAATGTAAAACCTCTGTATTATTCCCATAATTTGCTGAATTTTGAATGTTTCTCAAATAATTTTGTCTGCTTAATCCACCTCTTCTGTAAATAATGCCAACTCTTCTAGGAGCTCAAGTTCTAATCAGGAAAAACAAAATTAAAATATAAAACAAATATTTAAAATATATAAAATACAGAAAGTATAATTTAAATGAACACACATATTATTTAAATAAATTTAAATAAATAGAATAAAAATAAAATAAAAATCTGCATCAACTTAAAGTCAAGCCTCTTTCAAAAACAGCCCATGCTTATTCTACCTGCATATTAGATATTAAATATCAAATGTCTATATTAGGATCTAGAAATGATTTTTTGTGTGTGTATTGGAACCCATCTAAAACACTATGTGTATCTCCAAACACTTTGGGCACTGAAGGACTTTCATTGTGGTTGAAAAATCTACTTAATGTGTTATATAGTAAATCATTCCAAATAATTCATGGAAGCATTTAGGCACATCCTGGTTAATTATTTGAGGTATAAAATAAGACCAGGTAAACACTTCCCTTTACCTTCTCAATAAATACTAAGAATTTATGGGGCTGATGTGATATCCTATTATCATTTCCCAAACCAGAAGCAATAAAATGTACTCTGAGATCAACAAACCACTTCAGATAGGCACAGATACAATTTATGCAGTGCTCTTATTCAAACATTTAACACAGATTCACTGAGTGACCGTCATATGCCAGGCTATATGGAGCACACAGCGTACAATCATAAGCCAGACAAACCCAGTCTCTGCCTTCAAAGAGGTTATTATAATGTTTAACATCAAAGACAGGCTAAAAAATTATGAATGCATAAACGTATATACCTCTATATACATAATTCTTATATTAACATTTATTATCATAGGAAACAGTTACAGGACTGAGAAAAAGAGCCAGATAAGGAAAACTAACTTAGATGGGATGGCAAGGGAAGGACTCTTTAAGGAATTAATAATTCAGGTGTCTTCGAGGATGAAAAAAGCCAACCATGGAGTGACCATGGAAAGGACATGCTGCCCAAAGGGAGGGAAAGATCATAAGTCTTGAGGAATCTGGGAAGAGAAGCATCTGATGAAACTGGAGAAGGGGTTTAGGATTCTCTCTTAACTGCAGTGGGAAACCACTGGGTGGTTTAGAATAGGGGAGTCTCACAATGTGGTGTTCCCTTTAGAATGCCTTTCTTTATTTTTTTTTTTTTATTAAAAGATTTTATTTATTTATTTGACAGAGAGAGATCACAAGTAGACAGAGAGGCAGGCAGACAGAGAGAGAGAGAGAGAGGGAAGCAGGCTCCCTGCTGAGCAGAGAGCCCGATGCGGGACTCGATCCCAGGACCCTGAGATCATGACCTGAGCCGAAGGCAGCGGCTTAACCCACTGAGCCACCCAGGCGCCCCTAGAATGCCCTTCTAAAGGGAACACCACATTGTGAGACTCCCCATTGTGAGACTCCAGAGAGGCCCCTCTCTGGGTGATTTCCAGGTTTCTGCTCTGCCGAGCGATACTGGATCTTGCCCACATCTCCCCATGACCTTGTGTAAGAGCGTCTGTAAGGTACGGAGCCAGCAGACGCATTACTGGGTCACAGTTTATAGGCACGATTAACCCTGCTCATGATGTCAACTTGTGTTCCAAAGTGTTGTGTCATTCACGATCCTGCCTGCAATGATTCTGCTGCCTACACAACATTGACATTGTCTGACTTTTTAATTTTTTCTAATCCAGAAGCTGTGAAATGGCATCTCACTGGGGTTTTAATGTCCATTTCCCTTATTAATACAAAAGGAGCATCTTTTCAACATGTTTCTTGATTATTTTCATTTACTCTTCAATAAAATACCTGCTTATAGATTTATGACCCTTTGGGGCAGAAGGCAGGTGGGAAGACAGGATACTGTCTTTTTTTTAATTTTTAGATAGTTTTAAAAACACTGCAGATACTAATTTTTTGTTACTTATATGTATGGTGTAAATATTTTATTCTGGCATATGATTTGTCTGTTCACATTCTCTGTCATATCCAAGTTCTTATTCTTAATTTATCAATGCCTTATTTTCTTAATGATTTGCACTTTCTGTGACTCGTTTACAAAATCCTGACCTACTCTGAGGTCATTAGAATGTTCTTACCTATTGTCTGCTAAAAGTATGTTTTCTTGCTCTGTCACACATTGCTGTCTTAATTAGTACAACTTTATAATAAAAGTTTTGCTGTCTGGTAAGACAAAACTCCTTACCTAGTTCAAAAATGACTGGCTACTCTTGGGACACCTGTATGGCTCAGTGGGTTAAGCCTCTGCCTTTGGCTTAGGTCATGATCTCAGGGTCCTGGGATTGAGCCCTTCATTGGGCTCCTTGCTCAGTGGGGAGCCTGCTTCTTCCTCTCTCTCTGCCTGCCTTTCTGCCTACTTATGATCTCTCTCACTCTCTCTCTCTCTCTGTGTCAAATAAATAAAAATAAATAAATCTTAAAAAAAAAAAGACTGGCTACTCTTGACCCTTTTGCTTTTCCATTTAAATTTTAGAATCAGTTTATCGAATGAAGACTTATTCTTAGTTGAAATTGCTTTAAGTCTATTACTTAATTTGAGGAAATTAAGTCTACTTCTCCTTATATTGTGTTAAATATACCTATTCATGCACATAGTATTTCCTTCCATTTATTTAGGCTTTCATTAATATCCTTTGATAAAGTTTTAGAATATTCTACATAAAGACCTTACACATTTTTATACTTATTCCTACATACTTTACACCACTGTTGCCATTGGAAATAAATACAAATAAATATATATATACATATATATATACACACATTTTTTTTAAAGATTTTTTTATTTATTTGACAGAGAGAGACACAGTGATTTATTTATTTTTAGAGAAAGAGAGTGTGTGTACGCACACATGCAGGGGCAGATGGAAAGGGAGAGAGAATAAAGCAGAGTTCCCATGGAGCCCAATGGTGGGGCCCACACAGGGCTCCACACAGGCTCAATCCCAGCACCCTGACATCATGACCTGATCCAAAATAAAAAATCCACTGCTAATCAGACCCCTGGAAGTCTATGCCTCTTAATCCCCTTTACCTATTTCACCCATTTCCCTACCTCCCTCCCCTCTGGCAGCTATCAATTTGTTCTCTGATTCTGTAAGTCCGATTCTGTTTTGTTTCCTTTGTTTCGTTTTTTAGAATGCACATATAAGTGAAATCATATGGTATTTGCTTTTCTCTGTCTCACTTATCATAATACCCTTGGGTATATCCATGTTGCCACAAAAGGCAAGATTTCTTTCTTTCTTTCTTTCTTTCTTTCTTTTTTTTTTTTCTTGATGGCTAAACTAATATTCCGCTCTATGTGTGTGTGTGTGTGTGTGTGTGTGTGTGTGTGTGTGCATGCCATATCTTCTTTATCCATTCATCTACTGATGGACATTTAG